GGCGCACAGCGAGGACAAAGGCAGCACCCAGTTGGCAACTTTCCCTCTTTTTTTACCTAGTGGTCCTGAGCGAAGGCATATTCCTGCCCCATGTCTCCAGTTTTACCTACACTGACGTCAGCGTCGTGATTCACAAGGTAAGAAGACAGACATCTAAATTGCTCCCTGCTATGTTTGATTTAAAGGGAACCCAGGAGCAATGCTTACCTCCTGGCTCCAGAATAAATCAGAGCCTGCTCCTCTAGCCCTGTTAACCTGCAGAACCAAGTTTCATTACTTTAAATAGGCATAGTTCCTCTCTAGCCACACTGACACGAGCAGTAGATGTGTTGGAGGGGCCATTGGCCAGCGGAGAGCCCTGCGCAGGCTGACGTGAGCCACATGGGCACTTTGCTCAGCCCTCGTTCCTCCCCTCGCTTAGGACTACGTCTTGGTCCCCTGCAACCTCAAGCTACAGGCGAGGACTGGAGAGCAGACCACCGTGGGCTGAAGTCTGGTGTCGGGAGTAAAACAGCAGCAAAATTGTTCTGTTGACTTAAGTCATGCTTTGTGTTTTATCACTGCTTGAAATGCTGAAAATCTTCTTTTTTGCCCTACAAAAACAACACTTTCTCAGATTTAGGTTAACAGCATCATTGCACCAGTGGCTTTCTCTTCCAGTCCTGCTCTTGGCATTTTTGTTGCACAAAGAGGATGGAGTGTAACAATGTTCCATACTTTAATTAAACACTTCTCTTTCACACTGCATTTTCTGGTATGACTATTGACTTTTTTTCCCCTCAACAATTTGTACCCAAAGACAGATGAATTTTGTCTTGCTAAGAACTGGTACCAGTACAGCTGTTCAGACCTTACATTTAATTAAGGGAGCATGAAAATTCCACTAATTTTAAGGATGCTAAGCAGCCCCATGCCTCTCAGCTGCAGAATGACATGGCCCCTACCAACAAGAGATCTTTCATCTGCTTTTCCTCCATTTCTCGTGTTACTATGGGAACATTATGGCTGGTGGTTTTCCCTGGGTCAGAAAGAAGGGGAAAAGGAAAAAAAAAAAAAAAAAGCAGTGTGCACAATGGTTTCTAATTTTAGACTTGAAGGCAGTTATATTTTCAAAACTCTACTTCTGACAAAGCTCATCACAGAGAAAATGCTGAACGAAACGTGACTGCACACATACAGACAGTGCCACACACCGGCTCGGCACGCGCCCGCCCAAGGGCACCAACGGCTGCATTTGTCGGTATTGAACGCTCTCTCCTACTGACCAAACACGCCTCTGCACTCGAAAGCTTGTTCAGGAAACTACAAGGCGGGGGGGAAAAAAACCCACAACAGACTTGAGTGTCCAAAAATGGAAGGGCGGGCTGGTAACAGAGCTCCGAAAGCCGCTCGAGTCGCTCCATCGCTGGGTGCTGTTGGCAGCTGCCTCCAGACAGGGGAGGGCATCGCTGCGCTGATGCCCAAGAAGAGCACCCTTACTGCTGACTCTGCAGCTCTCGTGAGCTCTGCAATGGTGAGGCCCATGAAACCATATTAATTATATATACATCTGCTTTCATTTGCAATAGCTATACGCATCCTTTCTAGCCTCTAGAGCTGCTGAAAAGCACTTCAAAACCTCATATTTCAGAGACTCAGAAAAAGGAGAGCAAACAAAACAAGCCACATTGATTTATTATAAGGAGTAAAAAACCCTGAAGGTTTATATGCCCAGCTCAGGGACCTGACTAATGGTTTTAATGCCCAAAGTTGGCAATAGCAGGAACTGCTCCTAATAAAAGTTTCCTGATAGCGCTGCAACCATTATTCTTTGACTAATATATCTTAAACCAGTTTTCCAAAAGGAATAAGCTACAGTAGTAAAAAGATGTATTTATCCACCAGTGGATATTCTGGCTTTAGATTTTAGAGCATGGCTCTGCATCTCCAGCATAGGGTTGGGGTGACAGGAGCTGCACACCCCGACTCCCAGCCGCCCACGTCCTACCTAGGACCAGCGGCAGGCTCGGAGGCAGAGCTGGCTTACGCTGGAGAACTGGGGTCTTCTGCTGCTCCCTCCTGTCACCCGATTTACTGAGCCCCCCCAGCACAGCTGCATCCACAGGAGACAGCCAGTGTTGTCCCCAGCAGTCATTTTGGATTCACCTGGAAGAAGAAATGCTGAAAAAAGTGTTTGTATTAGTGTCCTTGGCATAAACAAAATCCATCATTTTCCTTGGCAGTAACCCAGGGTCCCACAGGAAGAGCCTCCTGGTGAGACACGGCTTCCCTTGCTGGAGGCACATGGGGCAGGACGTGACAGCCGGATGGTCCAAACGCTGGAGAAACAGAGATGAGCCCCTTCGCCAGCCCCTGTGGAACAGCAGAGGGTTGAAGCTTTACCAGGACATTGCTGGAACAAGGGCTGGAGAGCCCGAAGTCCCACGCACAGCCCAGGTAGAGCAGCCAGCCCATCACACCCCACTCCTGCTGCTCACCCATAAAAAGACTTTCTAGCATGTCAGGGTGCTGGCATACTGGAAAATGACTATTTAGTGGTTTTTCCACTAAATTCCACAGGATTGTCCCAGTTCTTATGAATTCTGATTTGCAGTTTGCCGCTCTGGATTTGCTCCTGAGCCCACCAGCAATTCAGAGCACTAGATTTACAAGTTGCAGAAGTAACAAGTTACACCAAGGAGATGCTGCCTTTTCCTTTAGAAAAGGTTCCTCTGCTCCTTCCTGCCCAGCCCTGTGCAATAAACGGCATGAAGGAGGCCAGGCCCCGGGAGGAAAAGCCGTTTCCATATGCACAAGAAGACTTTTCCACTTTTCCACCATCCCAGGCTCGCACAGCCCCTGCCCTGGCTCTGCAAGACCATGAGCTCCCCAGTTGCACACCTCCTGCTCTCTTTTCTTTCTCAAGACAAACAGACCCCTGGGACAGTGACTGATCACAGATTACTCTGTAGCATGCCAGCAAAATTAATCCCCTCCAGCAAACCAGAATGCACACAGAAGTGCTGGCCAAAAGAGTGCACAAAAAAGGTGCTAAACTTTACTTACTGTACAGAAGGTGTTTGCTCAGGAACCAGAACAAAACCTTGTACAAACAAAACCTGTTATGCCAACCTGCGGGCAAAAAGGATGGATGGAGAAGCCAAGCCCCATCAGTCCAGTAACATCGAGGTGGCACAAAGCAAGCTGCAAGTGCTCCGGCTGTGCGGCTGCCAGCGCAGGTCAGCGGGGCTGCTCATCCTGCCCCCCAGGGAACGGGGTCACACAGCCCCCCGAAACCCCGCTCCGCCAGCACTGCGGGCATACTGGCGTCAGAGAGCACGAGCAGCAGGGGTTGAAGCTCCCAGCTCATGAGCACGGTCCAACAGTCCACGGCGTTCCCTCTTGTTCACTCCACGCTTCGCAGAAACTCCTCACCCGTGTGGTTTAGCTGGTGCTAGGGCCAGCCGCAGCACGCTGCTTGAGCGGGGAGTCCCATCACCACACAGGAGCATCATTTCTGCCTGGGGACAGGGCAAGATCCATGTTATGAGCAGTTGAATGGCCTTTGGAGAGCATGGTCCCACTGGCACCATCAGCCTGCACAGTGCTGGGAACCAAAGGAGCCATTCAGACTCGCCAAAACACTGGTCTTTGGCGTTACTGTGTACTTCAACCCACCCAAAGCCCCTCGGCTGTGACACAAGACGTGCCAGCCCATGCCGTGACAGTGCGCAACACCCAGTTTGTCATTTGGCACAGCACAGGAGAGCTCTGGGCGGTTTGCATGAACTGGGACTGCCGACAGGTCCAGCACATCCTCTGCTGCGTTCAGTGATTCCTCTGCAACACCTCACTGTGCTGCTGGAAATTAATGCAACAACCAAGGACTTTGGCCCGGCAGATATTGCACTATTCTTACCTTTAGGCAGAAACGTAGAACAGGATATTGTCCCTGTCCATCACCTGATAGGTGCTAGACTTCTTCCACGCATCACCCATGCTTTAGCAGTGACATACCACCGTTAGCTTTGGGGACACTAGCAACAAATAACACACTAGTAATCACGTCTAGTGCTGGAGAAAACAGGTGTTTGAGAGGCCATTTAAGAGCTCAGATTTATTTATTTTTTTACCCAGAATCATTTGGTTTTCTGCAGTAAAAAATGCCTGAATTCTTTTCCCTGTGACATGCAGAGACCAACTGACTGCTACATTAGTTTAAGCAGATGTGGACTACTGCAGGCAGATGGGTGTGCTCCAGTGTTATCATACTTCTCAGTTATCTGGCAATGAAGTTTTCCCTTCAGGTTCTATTAGGAAATACTTAATGACCTTTGGAAATTCGATTTCATTCTGATTTCTGCTTGTGGGTTAGCATTTGGCCAGTAGGTCAGGAGCAGCCACTGAAAATCCAAGTGTTTTTTTCCTCAGGAGGTTTCAGTGGAGAAAGTTTTCCAACTGAAAACCAAAATATCAGTTGTCACAAAGGAACCAGATCCCGTAGCTGGAGGCAGGACAGATACCTGCCCTGAGAAGCATCAGAAACCAGAACCTCATTCCAAGCACTAAAAAAGTAGGAAACTTTATTAAAAGAGTTACATGACAAATGTATCCTGAGCTCCCACTCAGCACTTCATGCCCTTCTGAACGTGGATGGTGACATTGACTTAGAAAGCCATATGCAGTTTTTTCATTATATCAAGAACAATTTTCCCTCAGAACAAAGTTAACAATTCCACTGCAGCATCACATGCAACTGCTATAACTGTGACCCCAAAATCATGCTAATTCCTCTAAATAAATATTTGTACACAGAGCTGCCTATCGGGTTTTGGCTTATGCAAGTATCTTAGTACTCACGCAAGCCAATTAACTTTAAATTGTCTTAAATGTTATCAAGAATCTTGAATCAAGTTTAGAAAAGAAAAGTAGATAATGCCATTCTCGATGTTCCATCCCCGCTGGTCTGTCTTCCTCTTTCTGTGCCCAGAAAGACCTCTCCGTGCCTTGTACTCCCCAGCTCACACCAGAACCACCAGCAGACCCTGAAGAAGTGCAAGGAGCAACACAGCCACATTATTTCCCGACTTCGAGGGATGCTGGTTCACAACAGCTTGTTAGCAACACACAGTGAACATAAAACCCTCTTGCAAAAATCCTTATGACAAATTTGTAATAAGGGGGGCACAGTACCCTTTGGGAAGTGTCGGAGAATATCCCAGCTCCTCCGGGACATCTCCAGGATGCACAGGGTTGGAATTTGGTGCAATTCAAGACACTTTGAATGGTGCCACTCGAAAGTGCTTGCCAGACCCCCTGGACCCACATCAGAGCTGCTCACAGAGAGTTCTCCAGAAAGAAAAGGCAGCCTGGATGGGGGAACCAGGACCTCCCCCAGAGGGGCTGAATATTGCTCATTGTGTACCTCGTTCGATAATGCTCATGGGCACAAAGTACTTGGGCAGCATTTTCTGAGCTGAAGGAGGTCAGACAGAGCAACCCTTTCTGGCCTTTCAAGGCTTAAAATCTATGGCTCTCGCACACTAAACCACCACTGGCAGGGTCCTGTTACAGGAGCCAGCTGCTAGAAACAGTCCCAGTGACCTGCACCGCTGCCTCGCAGGAAGAAATAGCCTTTCCGAAGACTTACCGCTAATATCTGAATATCCACCTTTATTAAGGGAATGCCCAGCACATTTGGCAGAGGGATCCCGATGCCCAGAGCACCTGCAGGGGACAGACGGGTCCTTACACACTGCGGGAGGGGTGAGCCCACCTCCCACCCCACGACAAAGCTGCTCCCGGGGAGGGTGAAGGCAGCAGAGCTGCTGAAGAGGCACGGACTGCAGCACCACCGCACACGATGCCTTTTGGTTTTCCTTACATTCTCTGCCACTAACTGTTGCTGGGACCCTTAGGACTGAAGCTGGGGTAGATAGTGTAAGAATAAGGTTGGGACTTTTAACTACAGCCTCAAAATGGGGACTGCAGACCTTTAGTTGCTCCAACTCTCCTGCTACAGCTTTCAATCGTGCACACATACCCATCTCCCCTCCTCAGTCAAAGCACTCCCAATGTTACAGCTATCCCGGTCACCTTACCATTGATAAGAGGCAATAAGGTTTCTGCCAGCAGACTGCTGCAGTGTGGCTTCAAGTTCGAGATCTGAACCAGAGAAGGAACAAGCACGTGAGCAGTGCTGCCAGACACAGGACAGCGGCAAGCACAGCCCAGCGCTGCGGCTGGAAGACAGCCAGTCCTTGGGACTGGAAATCACTTCCCACTGACACAGCAAAAGAACAAACAGTCCCTCTTTTCTTTAAAGCGAATCTACTTTTCTTCCTCAATTTGTATTTGGTGCTTCCTTTGGGAAACCTTCTACCAGGTAAAACTCCTGCTGGAGCCTCCGTGTAAGCTTTGCCCAAGCAGGGGTGAATAAACAAACAGACTTCAGGCTTTATATTTGCATTATTAGAAAAGGCAGAAGAAAAAAAAAGAAAAAAGCAGCAAAAGAAGAATTGCTATGACCTACAAAGTAGAGCAGCTAACAGCAAAGACCATCAGCAGATGTAATCCATCACAGCCAGGACACGTTACAGCATCACACAGCGACCGCATGTGTCCCTCCTTCCCCAAAGCCGCAGGGCACAGCACTTGGCCACTCTGCCCACCTAGGAAAGCCTAGACTGGTACGAGAGACTTACGTTACTGATGCCAACATCAGAGGACTCCAAGGAGAGGGAAATGCTGCAGGGAAAGGAAAGCAAACAGCACATCAGATGCCAAGGCACCGGCCAGAGCTCACGGATTCCAATTGTGAGACCGCTGCCACCTTCTAGTGCAGCATTACTCATGGGCAAGGGATCCCTGCGAGGCATCCATAAAGGGATCACAATATTGTAACACAAAAAGCAGGCACTGCCACACTTGCAAGAGAGAAAAGAAAATAGGAAAATAAAAGCTTCACCTAATTTTTATTTGCTTGTAAATGAAACAGCACTGCAACAGGGCACACACCAGGCTCCTGGCTTCCCTTTCCCTCTCCCGTGCCCAGGTAGTTATTCATCTTAGGAAAAGGAGTCAGCTCCTGTTTAGCTGAGAGCAGAGCTTCTAGAAAAAGCATCCAGTCTGGATTTGAAGATCATGAGCTCTGAAGAATTTGCTACAGCTCCTAATCTATCATTGCAATCACACATCGCCATAGCTAAAACATCTGCTTTATTTCCACTTTGAATTTCTCTTTTCTACTTCTATTGAATCTTGTTATATCTTTGTCTATTGAATTAAAAGCCCTGTGATGCATTTCTGTTCTCTATATTGCTGCATACAAGCTATGCCAATGTTGCTTCTAAATCTAGCTCTTTGACAAGCTAAATGGCTTGAAATCCTCAAACCTCACACTATAAGGAATGCTTTCCAACCTTTAATCATACCTTGACTGGCATTAATGACAGTACTTTCCTTTACTCCTTTATCATTCATGTCCAATATCAGACATCTCAAACTACTACCCAGGATGAAAGTCAAGCTGACAGTCTTACAATTATTCAGGTTACCTCATTTCTCCTTGTTATAAAACTGACACAGACTTTTCTGCCAGTCTCCTAAAACTTTCCCACTGCTGTAATGTTTCCTGAAAGTCAGCAATGCCTGTCCACCTCATGCCATCAGCCAGGTACAAAATTCTCAGATTCAGGAAAGGAAATATCTGTTTTACAGACATTGAAAAACATTTCAAGCCAGCAGCTCCGGAGCTAACGTCGCAATGCAGAGAATGTCACCAGCCTGTAAAAGGGCAGCACTGCCCGGCTTTGTCACAGCCGGGTTTGTGCAACACTCCTGTCCCATCTGCCATAGTTCCAGCAGCTCCAGCAGTGCTGTGTCACCGAGGCACACGCTGTTACAGCACTTGGAGCATCCCTGATGAATTGCAGCCCTTCCTGCTGTCCTGCTCTCTTTTGGCCACTGCTTCCCAGAAAACTCAACCTGTACCCTGAGCTCCGGGAAAGCCGGAGTTTCCCAGCACGGCTGAACCCCCGGGGCTGTCTCAGGGGAGCGAGCAGGCTGGGGCGTTGCAGCGGGTTTTGCTTCGAGCAGCGCAGCCGCTGTGGGGACAGCCTACCTGCCCAGGGACAACCCCAGCACCAGTCTGCCTCCGGCAATCGACACGTGGGCGTTTAGACCAAGGTCCTGCAAGCAGACAGGGAGAGGATCAGCCCATGGAGATGTCCCCATCCCAGCTGCCAGTCACTCGGCTGGTTTGAGGTCTTTACATCCACACTTACAGCCTTCAGCAGCAGGAGGTTGAGGATGGGTCCATCTAAGCGCTTGATGAACACCTGAATCATGACTGAAAGCTCGACGGTGGCTTTGTTTTCTTCCAAGAGGATGAGCGGGTTCCCAAACAACGTCAGCTTAATGCTCAGCGGACTGGTCCCATGGCAGGTGGGGCACTGTGGGAATCAGGGATGCATGGATGTGGCTACCCACAGCCCACACACTGGCCAGGCAGGGGACCGGCAGCCCGCTGGTGGGCTCTCACAGCCCCTTAATTCTGTAGGGCCTCCCCCAAGGCCACACAGACCTCGGACAAGCCAAATTTACAGAGCAAATAGGTCTGGCAGCACAGGTCGGCACCCCTTGCTGCAGGCAATAAGGGGCTGAGGAAGCAAAGGTGGACACGAAGGGGGCTGTGGCCGTAAGAAGGTGCCCGTGACGCCCAGGAAACAGGAGATGCCAGACGCTTATCAGCTCTTTCTGTCAATGGCTGTGAGCTGCGAGAGAAGGTGTTCCCCTGCTTAGGCAGCGGGAGAAGGTTGGCTACAGCTGACGGCACACAGGAGAGCGGGGACCGTGCAGAGGCTGCCGAGGGCTGGGCACAAACCTCTGCTCCCTTCAGCCGCTCCCCTCGGCCGGTCGGGCAGCAGGGCACCCTCGAGCGATGCTGACACGGCTCGGCTGCCGTGCGTGCTCAGCACAGCCGAGAGGAGGGGAGCAGAAGACTGGAGACTTTGGCAGCAGCACGCTGGCACATCCAGGTGCATCACTTGGATAGCCTCGGACCTGGCGAGGTTTACACAAACCCTCGCGCCAGCAAAAGTTACTCACCCCAGCAGGAACGAGGGTTGTGATGGCTTCTTGCAGACGGCTGGCACCGGAGAACTGTTGGAACAAAAGTGCAAGCAGCCCTGATGAGCACTACAGCCGATTTCGGCAACACCCGTCCTGCCGGGGCCACCCCTCTCCCACTTGTGCCCCTGTTCCCAGACAGCTTGTTCGCACTCCTGGGGCCAGTCCCCCAGCCTTCATTCACTCACTGTCCCCAGTGAAGCCCCAGGCAGCTCAATCCCATGCAGACCTATATTACGGCAGCACACTGAGCCCTCTGCCTTCTCCATTGCTCCCCAGCTGCCTGGGCAATTCCTAGCTAGTCGTTAAGGTGAGAGCAACCAGCAACGGAAGGAAAAGTAACCCAGAGGCTTTCAACGTTTGTCAGTGTGTAGACTGCTAATATTTCCCAGTAGAATTACAGATCAGAGGTACAGAAAATGCATACGCCTAGAGAATTGCATTGCATATACGAAGTTGCTTTTCTCAGTGACATTTTGCAGATTCCTTGAAATGGATTACGGACCTCCGGGAGTCCATGGCATAACCAGTACACAACTGGTTTCAGCAGGTATCCCTTGGGGTGCCCATACAGAAAAAAGAACAGCTGATCATTGCACATGCTATTATAGGTTTCCAAAAAAGAGTGGTAAGGAGGCAACTCTGGGGCTTGAGTATCTGCAGGTGAGCACACGCATACGCAGGCCCCAGAGCGGCTGCGTGCCGAGAGCCAGCAGAGGCTGTGCGTGCCGTGAATCCATGCGCAGCAGCTCCCCGAGCTGAGCTAAGGTCAGGCTGACGCCTGTCCCCTGCCACCTCCCCCGGCATGAAATACAGGTGCTGCTACACTCACGACTTCTGGCGTGCAGGTGAAGGTCTGCGGCGGTATCTGGATCAGGAGGGACAGGACCGCATTGAGAAAGCTCTGGCGCAGTCCCAAGACCAGAAGCTTGTCCAGCAGCGGAGGCAAAGCAGAGGGGGACGAGTCATGGGGGATGATGCTGCCTCCCACCTGCTTCACCGCACCCTGCAAAGAGAGGTGACATGGATGTTAAACTGATCCTTCAAAGCCACGAGGCATGCCCAGATCCTCTAGACAGAGAGTGCAGGGTCTGTGCCAGCTGAAACAGCTCTCCCCTCGCCAGCAGCTTAGGGAAAGCATTGGACTCGGAGCAATTCCCTCTATATTTAACGGATGAAAGGAGCTGATAAAGGGCAGAGTGTGTAACTGAGGCCTTCTTAGCTAATAACAGACTTTGTCCAAATCACATCTCACCGCTTCAGTTCACCTTTTGAGATTTCACTCCAAGAGCAAACGAGCAGTGAAGGTGCTGCCAGCCCAGCGGTCCCAGCCCTGCCTGCCTTCCCTCCAGTGCCCAGCCAGGCGTGAGCCATCCTCCGACTCTACAACAAACTTGCACTGATACCATCTACTTGCTAAGGAGACTAACTCTGTCTAGGGGTGGTGGGGGCAAAGACTAATCCGGATGAAGTACCTGCACTAAAGCAAGAGCAGCAGCACTGATCGTACAGACTGCAGTGTTTGTTATTAGCCCTTGCTATTCTTTATCTCTTATGTCCCATTGCTTCTCACTAGCCACTTTCTTTTATTTGAGTTGTCCTGTTTGAAAGTACTGTTTGGTTTTTGCTGTTTTGTTTTTTTCCCCAGTGAGACAGAATTAAAAAATACAGCCATTAGCTTGGTAGCATTCACCTACCACAGACACCGAATAGTGAAGGCAAAAAGCAGTAACACCCAGCCTGCAGGCAGGGCGAGGGGGGGATGAAAACTGCTTGACCCAACAGTTACAAACAGCAGACACACAGTTTCAGGCAGTCTCAAGATAAGTTTGCAAACAAAGCAAAAGAGGGCTTGAAGAAAAGTACACGCAGTCACTTAGCAGTGATTTGGATAAGGATCTAAATATTTAGCTAGCATTTCCAGAACAAGTCATTAGCCCAGCTCCTCCACGTGATTGTACTGGAAGAAGACAACGGCTCCCACGGGATGAGGTGAACAGTCTGAACGGCACCACGCTGCAGTCACGCTCGCAGGGTCCCGTCACCCAGTGTTAACTTACATCTAAATCCAACCCAAGGAACAAGCCAGAGGTAAACGGGAGGCTGGCCAGCTGGTAGTGAATCGTTCCTGCCGTACCAACTGGGATTACCGCTTCATGGAGAAAAAAAAAGATCGTTACAAGATCAGGAAATAAGCAGCAACACAAACTCCCCTCCTGACCCTGCAGGCCACCAGCCAGACCTCACACCCACAACCAGGTCCCGAGCATGCACTTCTGTGGGGTGTTCACTGCTACTCAAAACATCCAAAACATCCCCAAATTCAGCTTTGTGGGATCTGCCATTAGAATATAGCCCATAAAGAGCATCAAAGATAAAAAGCTAAATCCAAGGGTGACGTATAAAAATGGCATAAGGAGGGCCAAGGTGCAGGCAGTTCACTTGAACTGCTGGGGCGTGAATTCGAGTTTCAGTAACAATCCTGCAGAAGCGCAGCTCCTCCCTGATGCACTTAAGGACTAGTCATGGGAAAGTCCCACTGCAGGACTGCAGGGAACACGGGAAAGCAGCACCTCATCCTCCATAAGAAACGCACCGTTGAGAGTGCCCAGGAGCTGGATGTTCACAAGGTTGACGACAATATCGACTACTGGACACAGCTGCAACACAAAGCAGAAGTGCGACCGCTCAACCCCCCTCGCCACCCCTCTGCAGGGAGCCGTCACCCTACAGCCTGATCAGACCTGCTCCTTTTAATCTAAATCCCCAGGGAAAAAGTGCCACGCGTGGCATCAGGCAGCAGCTGGGATGCTGTGAAGGACTTGGGGGCAGCGGAGCAATCCTGGAGCTGTGGTACTACACCAAAGGGGACTGCTTTCATCTGGGGAATATTTCAGGCGTGCCCTGCAGGCAGAAACACGCTGGCAGCAGCCAGGCTGGCCACGGGCATCCTTGCCAAGCAGCGCATACCAGTGACATGGGAAAGCAATACAGAAAGATGATGCAGCTTGCTGTGACCTCGTAACATGTTGTTCCTGATATTTCTGCATTTCAGCTATGAAAGGAGGGCAATCTTCAGGCTTACCAAACCAGGCAAAGTTGCTGTCAGCTGCTTAAGCACAATCTCGTTTACTGATAGGGACAGTAAGCTGGAAAGGAAAGAAAAAAAATTTCCAATCACTACAAACACAGCTCCAGGATAGAAGACCAAACGTTCTCCACCCTTCATTTTACACACTACTATGCCCTTAGCCACCCCTCAGGGACACTGCTGCAGCTGCTACTGGCAAGAGCAGGGGCTGTGCAGAAGGCAGGGAGGGCAAGGAGCTGCTCCCCTCCACCAAGGGGAGAATTGGGCTAATTCCTGAGAATTGAAGGCTTCAGCACTTGGGGTGCACAGACATCATTGCACGAAAGGAGTGAGCCTCTCGCAGTGTAACCCGAGTTTGGTTGTCTCCCTCTGGTATTTAAATCAGTGCTGTAGTTAAGGGAAAGTGGAGCCGTTATGAAATACCTCCATGTTAGTTATGGGAAACAAACAATTTACATGTGGAATAACAAGAGGAGAAATGTGCTGTGTAACATTTCAGCACTGCTGCTAAATAGATCACTCTGGGACGTGTGCTGCCTGCAGGCAGTGCAGAGCCATTTACTTTTGATAATCAATATATTTCTGGACTATTGGGTTAGAACATGCAGCAGCACACTCAGCAAGCCACAGACAGCAGGAATGCATAATGCATCTCATTATTTATGCCCAAGCTCTGCCTATAGACCCATCTGAGGAACTGCCCCTTATCCCACAGGGAGTTCACTTCCTGCAAACCATCGCTTTAATCCTGCTAAAACTTAAAATATGACCCCCAGAGTGGGTGAGCTGTGTTCCTCTATTCACTTACATAGTCTCTTTCAAACCAGCTGCTGCACTGATTGAAATATAATGCATAATGCAAAAATTAATTAGGAGAAATTCAATGAACCCGAAAAGTGAGTAATTCAAAAGCAATAAAAGAAAATATTTCCCATGATCAATTTACTGTTGCATTCATCAATACATAAAGTCAGTAAATTCTTTCTGCCAAGAATTTAATAAGGCTGAGCAAGAGATGGGACATTTGCATGGAATTACACACACCCACAGTGGCCAGACCGAAAGTCCATATGCCCAGCATCTTTCTGTGACAGCAGCCAAAGGCAGAGCATAAAACCAGGGCAAGCAACGGTGCTGTTCTCCTAGAACACTCCCTGCCCTATTATTCCTACCCTTTGGGTATCAATTCAGTAGCTAAATCTAAAGAAAGTGCATTGGAAGAAGTACCAAACCTCATACTTCAGATCTTAATGTTTCCACAGGAAAACAGGGCAAATTAACCCTCATCTTCCAACAACCAAATTTTTTGCTGGTTCCACTGAAGCAACTGTCTTTGGCAATGGGAAAGAAATTACTTCCCTAAGGCCTGGCTCTGTATCAGCTTAGCACCGTCTGTGTTCTGGCAGACTGTCTAGATCATTGGATAAAGAGAACAGCATTGCATGCAATGGAAAACATAAATGAAAATATAAATCCACAGGCACTTACCCAGAAAGGAGCTTGATCTTTATGGCACCAAGAACGCAGAGGCAGTCTTCAATGACGACCTGGACTGTGCCCGATTCAAAATTTGTGCATTTAATGTTTGCGGTAATGTTCACATCCACTGAGATATCAATTAGTTCTGAAAGAAGGCCAACCAAGCTGAAAAAAACGTAAATGGGATTGAACAGATTTCATCTCTCAGCCTCTAACCAGAGAAACTCAGCAAAGCCAGTAGCAACGAACTGCACCTCCATCTCCTGCAGTTCATTACAAATACCACAAGCCATCTTTTGGTGCCTATTCTGCTCTGTGACTTTATTATAGGTAAGAAACACCTAGAAGTCCATAAAAGATGCAAAACGTTGCGCAATAGGAAGCCTGTGGGTAGGGGTGTCCCTTAGCAGCCACTACAAAACACCCCACTCACCAGTTGCCACTGAGCTCCAGCTTTGCGGCGATGGTCAGCTGGACCCCGATTCCTGGCAGCAGCACCACCGACAGCCTGGGGAGCTGGACCTTGACAAGGTGCAGGCTGCAAACAACAGCAAAAGCTGGCGCAAATTAAAAGCATCTTCTAACAGCTGAGCAGCTGTACCCACTGAGGAACCTACAGCGCCCTCGTCACCACGGCCACCTCCAGCTGGAGACTCGAGTATTATAAGCACAAGCATTGTAAGCAAGAGATACCAGCTCCAGGATGAGAGACAGGGTCTGCAGCTGAAACCCAAAAGAAGGCAACCAGAATCAGATTAGGGTAGAAACCAACTTTACAGAGCAGTCGGCTTTTTCTCTCTGTGGCCCCTTCCTCCCTCCCTCAGGGCTGCCGAGCGTCTCGGATATCAACAGCACCAGAGCCATCATTCTGCATCTGCATCCACAACCTGCAGCGCACTTCACCATCCACCTTGCTACCACACAGAAAACTGTTATCGGGCCAGAATTTCAGTATCAAAATAAAATGAGATAACTACTTGGGCCAATCATGCCAACTACAGCTCAGCTTTTGTCACTTCGGAATTGATGGTGAAGGTGCACTCACAGAGAAGCCCTTGCTCTCCACTTACCCAGTGATGCTGGTGGGAGAGTTCAGCAGACCCCCTTCACCCATGATGTTTGGGAGCACAAGGCCCTGCAGATGCTGCTGGAGAAGCCCGTTCTGAAGTATGGCATCTGAGAGAACTGGAAAACATCTCTGCGTGAGGACCGGCACTTGCAGCAGTGACCTCTCTCCACTCAGTCAGATCTGTCCTGGCAAAGGCATCACACAACAAAGCCCCACCACTCCCCAAAACTCCTTATAAAGTCATTAGCTGTCTCAGTGCAGTCAAATCACACAGGGGATGGTATTTTACAACGTGCACTAAACCGAAGCTGCCATTAGTGAATTAACCCGGAGAGGTAGCAGTGGAGAGCATCCCAGACCTCCAACTTCAAGAGTATAGTACAGTTGTGCACTACCAGAAACGACAGCAACCCCACTTGGTAGTTGCGCTTCAACTCACAACTTGCTTCCCGTTTGTAAAGGGGTTTTGTTTGGGTTTTGGGTTTGTTTTTTTTTAATAGGAGCAACTTGAAACAAGCCTCTTTTTTTTGCTGGAGCACTGCAAATGTAAACATGGCTGCTAAACTTCACAGCAGTGGTTTGCCAAACATCAGCTGCTCCAATATGGAGATGAGAAACTAAGACAAAATGAGGGAATAATTCAGATCTAGCCCTGAAATTCTGTATGGCTCTTTGGTGCTGAAATGTGTCCCAGTTCTGGAGCAGAGAGATTTCCCTGACCCATGAACCCAGTGATGGCTGTCAGAAGCTCTGAGCAAAGTCTGCAGCCTTACAGAACTATAAAATAAAGATGAAGACACTTAGGAGGTTTGACTCCACGTCACAGTCCCACGTAGCTTTCAAAACAAACGTAACCCATGTTTTCTAGTTACCGTTCTGCATTGCCCCTGGACTGACGGCACAGGACAGACCAGACAAGACTTCCTGAGAGGGTGAGAGGAGGCCACAGAAAAAGATGATTCCAAAAAGCTTCAACATCGTCATGTCCAGAAGACTCCTCTGCTGCAAGGGAGACATCAGAGTGAAAAGTGGGGGAAAAGGCTCTAAGAAGAGATCCCAGTGTCTTTGTAAGGACAGAGGTCAAGTGAGAAATCCCTTGTCTACTCTTTATCAAGTTCAAGACTGCTCGAGCCTGGGGCAGCAGGACCTTGTTTACATCCACACACGTGGACAGATTCCAAGTCTGGATCAATAAAAGCCCTTTCCTGGTTCTTTGTGACTGGCCCAAAATATTCTACATGTTCACACACAAGAAAGCCAAACTGCTTTTCCCCTGAACCAACGTTTAAGCAGTCGTCATTTCCGTGTCCCTTAGATGAAGTGTTACACGTGTTTTGGTAAGGGTCTTTGACAAGGGAAGCATCTGAGGATTATTCCCATTCTTTCTAACTTTCGAAAACAATAAACTAAAGCTCAAGTGATAAAAATAAGCTAGCTATAAAGTTATAATTCAATAATTATTAACACAAATTTACTTATGAAATGCCAGATATAGGCAGATGATTGGAGCTTGGTGCACAGCAAAATCTCAAACTAACGAGGCCAAGCAGTAGGCACACGATGCGCGCCCTTCCAGAGCTATAAGGCGATAACGCTACTACCACGCGAGTCTCCCTGCCACCACGCAGCCTTCACCAGCCGAGGCTTTGATGCGGATGATGTTATTACCTGCATCAGCTGCAGCCAGCTGGGAAGGGCTCTCAGGTCCGCTTGGGCTCTTCTGGAAGCCGTCAAGACTCAGCGTCGTCCTCCCTTTTTTTCCTGCAACTGAGATGGAAGAAGTTGCCCTTATATAAAAACTGCAGCCAACCAGACACACCTTTTCCTCACAACCTCCACGTCTCAGGAGCAGGCATCCCTCTATACTCTTGCTCTTTGCAAGCAACACCCAGCTGCCACCTCCCTTGATTTATACAAGGTAACGTCACCGCTGACTTGACCGGTTGCCGTTTCCCTTTGCAGCCTGGATCATTCGGATGCCACATTTTCCCCCCCCTAGTCTATCTCAAAAAAGATACCCTGTAATGGTGGCCCCAGTGGGGATCCCCATGCTTTGAGGAAACCAACTTTTTAGGAAATCATGAGAATTACTGAAGCATCTAAATCTGACAGGAGACCGATGAGGCTGCCTATACAGGAAGGCAGTGCATGGAACACATGGGCATGGATTCAAGGAGGCTTATAGTAGGAAACAATCTGCTTTTCCCAATCCCTGAGGAGTTGTGAGACTTATAATGCTCATCCCTGTTTCAAATGCAGCACTGGAAAAATATTTTCTTGACAAAAAGCAACGTGGAGAGGTTGCAGAAACCTGATAAATGTTGGCTTTGTTAAGACCAAGCTTCAAATTTATTTCAGTCATATCTGTAAAGAGTGTCACAAATTGACCGTAAAAAATGAAGTTGTATTGAAATGTATAAAGCCAACAATAAATGTAATTTTGAATAAGCAACGCTTATGCTAGCTGAATGAGCCGAGGGCAGCAGAAATGCGCATTTCAAAGGAAAAATCTCATCCCTCAGCGGACACCTTGGCTGGGCTTCACGGAAGTTTCCATTGTGCAGGGCCCTGGGAAGATCTTATCTGGGGACTTTGTTCAGGTCTGGTCACCCATGTTCAAGAGGGACAGACTCAGACAGAAACCGGGCAGCAAAGGGCTGCCGCGATGACTGGGAAACCGGAGAGCGGCCAGCGCGCTCGGCCTCGCGGAACAGAGACGAGCAGAGATACGATCATTCTCCACAAACACAGGAGAGGGAGAGGAGAGGACAGGAGAGCTGCTCGGGCTCAGGGACAATGTTGGCACAGGAACAAACACAAGCCAATACGTTCAGGTTGAAGTTAAGAGAAAGCTGCTACTACCACAGCGAGTTTTGGGCTAGCTTTCTCATGGGAATACAGAAGGCAGCAAAAATAGTCTTAGGATGCTCTTCAATACCACACAAGGTGTTTTTTTGTGGTAACAGCGAAGTGCTTTCACCAAGCAGGAAGGTCCTTCAGCACGTGCTTCCGAGGGCTCAGACTCAACAAAGCATCCCATCACAGAAACACTGTGCGAGCTCTTGTTTTGTTTAACACACACTCAGTCTGGACTGCATTTGGTGTGCTGGTGACGGTCTAGTCCCAAAACCAGGGAATGAAGTTAGCCCCTCTGAGAAGGCTGGAGCAGCAGAGAGAAGTCAAAACCATCTCCCTCAGAAGATGCAGCCCAGCTGCCTGCTGAGATCATGACTGCAGTGCTTGGTCAGCAGGGAAAAAGAGACGGAGCAACGCTGCAGCCCACCCCCAGGCCCTTCACGGGGTGCAAAGTGCAGAGCCACGCAAGCGGGGTCCCTCCTGCAGCCGACGTCCCGGCAGCGGATCCCTCGCCAGCACATCCCGGTGCCTGCATCCCATCACTGGCTCTAGTCCTGCTTTCCACATTTTCTCCCCAGGTGTCTCAGGGTGATTTACACTTACTGTTTTTATTGCTGACTCTGCTGCTTGCCCCAGTGTGCTTTTACTGCCTGGGACAATCTATCTGCGTTTCTTCTTTTTTGTTCCCTTTCAAAGAGCCTCATCCAAATGCACAAGGCCAAGCGGTCATCATAAACGTCCACAGTGAAGCGTTCAGGAGACTCTGCTCCAGCCTCGTACACGCTACAGGAATATCACTGCTGGCAAAAGTCAGCTACTGAGCATGTACAAAAGCAGATTTCCAAATGGTTTCAGACATGCCACCATGTGTGCAATAAACACCCGAGTCGTTGTATATGCACAACGCGACTGCACGCTCAAATCAGATAATCTCGCAGTTCAATGACAAGAGGCAGACATCTGTGTTTGTACCTGACACACATGTATTGTACCAACAGCAGCGAGCAGAAGCTGTAAGGAAAGCAGCACATTTTATACACCGCTGTAGATATTTCTTCTTGCTGTGCGAGTTTTTCTTATTCAGTCATATCCTTTGCCTCCCTCTCACGCGCCTATATTTCATTCTCTCCTTGCAGCAGTGATTTAGATATCACTTACCAGGAGGCTGAATTCAGTTCTGCAGTGACAAGGGAATATATATTAAAATGAAGCATTGCAAGAAATGCTAGAAGAGATTATCACAACACAAATGCTGGAAAGTGGAAGGGCTTATGGAAAGACTAACACACGCAGAGGAAAGACGCTCCGGAGCAGCTTCTGGCATTCCAAACTGCCCCAAGCTTGCGGCTCAGAAAGATGGCAGGTTAAACAGGAGACAGCAACAGGAAAGGAATTTTAGAAGACTAATACTAAAGTAAATAAATATTATAATTTATTAAATAATATTAAATTCACTGATATTTTTTCTCTAATGTTCAGAACCATAGAAGCCTAGGGAAAACTTGGGAGAAATACATACGTCCCAAATGAAAATGTTAAGCAATATTAAAGAACAAAAAAAAATCAGAATTTCTCCACCACAGTTTGAAGAACACCACCACATTTTTAAGATAAATGGTGGTTTTGAGACATTCCAGAAGTTTGCAGGCTACAGGAACACAAAATTTCTTCACTGTTATGTGCTGGGGGGGGAGAAGAGTAGCCTCAGCCTGTAACACTTCATTAATGGGCAAATAGTAACTCCCTATGAAGAATATACATAAACTGAATCCTGTCTCTTGAGGTGGAAAACCTAAATCTAATAGCATGAATTACACCCTGTGATGGAGCTGCCTTGTACAAATATGCAGCCTGTTCTCTTGCAGGGACACTTCCTAGAAGTAACTGCTTCCAGATGGATGCTGTGAACATTAATGAAACTGCTCAGTTCAAATGTCGATGGAAAGTAACTTCCCTGATGTCAGCAAAAAGAAGCCAGCTCAAGAGAAAGGAGAAAGCACTCAGGTAGGAAAATGACACAGCAAACCTCAAACTAAATTAGGCTGCTAGAATAAAAACTGGAAAAGGAAGGGGAAAAAATGAAATCGGTTCTAAACACTGACTGCACCTGGGCTGTGAACTTCCAGCCCAGTTTCCAAATAGCTGAAGTTCAGCTTTATGAACCGTTTTCCCTACCTGGCACTTTACTGGGGAATACGGCAACAATGGCAATACGGTTGGATTTGCACCGCAGTAGGTCTGCCCCCTCGGCCAGCATGTTGGTCAGTGGCAATTCAGTCCAGAGACTGGAAAACAAACGCACAGAGAAGTGTCATTTGATGCTGTATTCATTCTGCCTCATTGCAAGCAGCCTTGCTCAGGGGAGATTTGTTTTCCAATCCTGTTTATGCCCAGGGAAGTGGGAGGAGGGAAGCTCTCTCTGAACTCCCCAATCCAGTGTAATAATACACTGAATTATGCTAACCAGAAACTCTGCGTTAGCGAAGCATTTATCTTCGTAAAGTTACCCGTGTTCTTGTTTGGTTTGGGATGGATGAATCCTCCCAGAGCCAGACTCAAAAGCTAATTTCTAGCAACAGGATTTGTCAAAACATGAACTAAAATCTCCTAGAAAGGACCTGGAGGGTTTTAATAAGAACTGAGGGAATCAGACTCTCCTCAAGTTTGGGGACTGGACTTTAGCCCAGGATTGTCAGAAACCCACAATCCCCACAGCCAGATTTACAGTTGATTTAGCAGCTTCCATTGTCAGCAGTCCACAAGGGCAAAGCAGCTTAATTAATACCAATCACTCTTTATAACAACAGCGAGCCTTGCCAAATCGATCGGAGGCTTGCACTGACCCAGGACCGCTTCTTAGCGCACGTACCTGGGACTTGTGGCATGTTGTGCGTGGACAGACGTCAAAAGCATCCTTTCCAGATTTACTTGTGTCTGATCGCTCACCCATGCAGTTTCCTACATAGGGAACTCAAGAAACAGAAACATGATCTCAGGGAAGGGCCACGCAGAGAGCACAGGCAGGAAAAACAAGGAAAAGAACACGAGGCTCGTGGGCAGCAGCTCTAAGGAGCTGCCTGTCAAAAGGAGTGAGAACAGCAACATTGATTTCTGGATGCATCCACAAT